TCATTTTATCCACTTATCATTTTATCCACTTATCATTTTATCCACTTATTTTTTTATCCAGTTATCCAGTTATGCACTTATCCAGTTATCATTTTGTCCAGTTATCCAGTTAAGCACTTATCTAGTTATCCAGCTATCAGGGGATCTAGGTAGTTATTACTGTTATCCACTTATCCAGTTATCCTTCCATCCTGTTATCCTCTTATCCTGTTATCCTGTTATCTTGTTATCCAGTTATCCCTTTATCCAGTTATCCTGTTTTATGAATCCCTTTATCCAGTTATCCTGTTTTATGATTAGGCCGCCCGGGACCAGCCCCCCCCAAAAAAAAGTGTGTCGCTGGCGGTTTGGAACAGCTTGGCGCGCAGTACGGGGCCTCCACGCCCGGGTGTACTGGTGGTTTAAGTCTTGCTTATGCCTGGTAACCACCTCTTGGACTTCCGCCTCTCTGCCAGTTAGATCCACTACCACCTCCTTGGAGTACCTACCTATCGGTTAAACGCTTTGCTCTCTGAGGTGACCCTACCAACAATTTGCTGCTCACTCCACCCTCATTTGGCCACTGGCCCAACACAGACTGTGGGCTCCCCCCTGTAGGTCCCTCGAGAGCTTACGGCAACAGTTCTTTAACCATGCTACTCGAGAGGGCGGTTAATGGAGGCCTCAATTTTCAGGCAACTTGTCATGCCATATATAGCAAAACCCCTCAAGGGTCATTTTAACCAAATGTGCCACCAATTCGTAGAGTGGAGACCATGCTAACTACTTATTAAAAATAAAAATAAAAAAAGAAAAAAAAAGAAAAAAAAAAAAGGCAAAATTGCACTTTCATGAAATTTCGCCAACATTCCAATTTCAGAAATCTTGAAAAATCTCAGAAATCTCATCAGAGGAAAAAACAAATCCCCAAATGATACCAAATTTACCACACAGCAACCTTTAACCAAAACAAAAACAGGCAAAAAACAAATTTAAAAAAAAAAAAAAACCGTACAATTGACCCCCCAAAAGTGGGGGTCCCGGTTAACCACTTGTGTGCTACTCTGGGCCAAGCAAAGGTGGCAACCATCGATCGGCTCCGGCTGCTCTTCAAATGGCGGTGCGCCCCACCATTTTTTCAATCCTCTAAACGGAACTATCTAGCTATAGAATGTAAACGCAATCTGACTGCACAGAGTAAAAAAAAAAAAAAAAAAAAAAAAAACACTGTCAATCCTAATCGGAATATTGCAGTACAGTGTACGACACCACTGTACATCCTAAACGGAATCTAAGTATAGAACGTAAATGGGATCTGACTGTGGAACGTCAACGGAATCCGTCTTCTCCTCCCCCTTCTTCCTCCAATATGTGTGCTGCTTTTCTAACAGGAGCTTGAGAAGCTGAGTGACATCAGCCCGGACCCTCCCAAAGGAGGAGGAGACAAGGCATCCTCGACAGACACGCGACCACCATCCTGAATAACTTGAGTAAGCGTGTTTCAAATTTTTCAACACAGGCGGAAGTAGCGATGTTATCGGCTTTGTCTCGGAGCGAGCCAGTGGTGTGTGTGTCTGCCCCCTGTGGCGAAGTGTGACTGAAGATGGCCATCCCCCTCCCGTCTGTCCTGAAACAAGCGGCTTGCATATTCCCAGCGTTTTTGCCGAACGTTTCAGCGAATTTCGTCGATTTGCATTGTCATTTCGTGATCCTGTTGCACTTCTCCGGCCATCGAGACTTCTTGTTGCTGCTGACTTGGATGACAACATGTGTTTGACTTCACAGAGTCCACACAAAAAACTTATGATCATACTTTTTGGATCGGTAAGATATGAATCACCATTAGTTCTCAGTCACTTTGCAGATTTCACTGTCAATGAGAAGTGTGCCGCCTCGATTGATTCTGAGTAGTCGATCCTGCTGTAGTTTCACGGAATGAGACAAGGAAGCTGTGTTCAGGATTGTGCTTTTCGGGGAGGGGG